GTTTACGCCGAAAGACTTTCGCCATTTCATGGCTTTGAGGAGTGCTTTGAGGGCCGAGTCCTCCGATTTGTTGGTCAACACAAACCTCTCGACCCACCAGTCCTTCTGCGCCACGCGTGCGATGTCTCGCAGATCGTATTTATCAGGACTTTTGTCTACTTTTGTTGTAAATCTGGCCCTTATTTTTGCAATTGTCTCCTTATTTGCAGACATTTCACAACAAAATCTAAAATTTATTTAAAAAAGTAATTAAAATGATTTAAATTCTATAATACAATGATTTGATTTTTTAGAAAACAAAATTATTTATATAGATGTGATGTTTGTTTATTTTAGATTATTTATGTACATGTAATAAATAATACATGTAATATTACATATTGATCACGATTTTTATTACGATGGTCAATATCAATTCCCACAGGCTATTATATTTTTATTATATATTCTGTAAATAGCTGTCAATTCCAAAAAATTTATCGCTATTTAAATAAATATTTACATATATTTACATAACTTTAAATTTTCTCACCCTTTTATTGAAAATTAAAATGTGGGTTATGTTAATTTATTATGCATGTTTATCTATACAATCGGACCCCGGTTTAGTGGACTTCTATTTTATATAAGGAATAGTTTTTAACCACAATTCAGTGTGAATAATGTGGTTTATGGGATCGTTTCGAGAAACAAAATTTACTTTCACCAATGATTTCCTTAAATCGGAGTCTGAATGTATTATTTTATTTAATTGACATTTATTTAGTTAAATTTTTAGTAATAATTTAACATATACAAATATTATGAATAAAAAATAGACAAGTTTTAATGAGGATGTTTTATTTATTAAATATATTAAGGTTTATTGTATTTTTAATTTATTGTTTGATTATACTATTGTTAAATTGTATTGGTTTTAAAAAATGGTATATCTTTGCAATCACTTCACTTTTTTGCAGGAATTTATTAACTCTAATTACATTTATGCATAAAATTTATATAATCATTGCAACAATTAAACATTCTTGGTTAAATGTGACCAATAAAATGCATTCTTATTTTAAGTATAAAAATCTTATATTGTATTATTTATACTTTAAAAAAGTTCCAATTTTTAAGATAACATAAAATTTATAAATAATGCAAAATTTATTATAATTAATTTTATAAGACAAAATAAAAAATAAAAATAAAATATTAATTCAATTCCTCTTTGAAGGTCTTATAAATTTTTTTAATCATTTTGTCGGTGAAGTTCGGGTGCTGTGAGAGGGGCCGCACGCCGGCAGGTATTGGCATCAATGGGTCCGCACTATACCGACCGGTATATACTCGGGGTCTATATATTGTGTCAATTCATCACGTTTTATAAATTTCAATGCCTTCTGGAGCTCTTCGTTGGCGAACGAGACGATCACTTTGGCCGTCGCCTCCAACACCGACGGCAAGTCTATTACAACTAAATGGTGAACCCCTTGACAATAATAACCCTGTACGACCTCGATCATAAACATGTTGAACTCCAGCTCAACATTACCGAGTGTGGCCCCCGTAGTGTCCGACACTATAGACCAGCCCTGTGCCGGTCGGCCACACTCTATCGCCTCTCTGTCCACCCTTTCCAACATTAATACAAAGCATTGCTTTTGCAATAATGATATCTTCGGGCACTTGTGGTGTCGGTTATACCGATTCCAGACCACAGGCCGGCCCTCTCGGTCGTGACTGAAGTGCACGTATTCGCCAATTCTGTACATCTCTTCGGGAAACGTCTGATCCGTGAAGTCGTTTACACCGAAAGACTTTCGCCATTTCATGGCTTTGAGGAGTGCCACAAATCTGGTCCTTATTTTGTCAATTCTTTCCTTATTGACAGGCATTTAAAATAAACTTTAAACCAGACTTTCAATTAACAAAATCTAACGTTTATTAAACTGATTTAAATATATTACTTAATATATTACTTTTATAACGATAAACATTGATCGTCTCAAGGTCATTCATGTCTAATTTTTAAGGTTATTATAAAGAAATACAATACAAATTAAATTATTTTTGGATTGTATAAAATTATTAACGTTAAATATTTTTATTTTTAATAAATGATTTAATCAGTTTTACGATGATATCATAATCTTATTATCATTGTTTAATAAGTATTTATTATTTAATCTATTAAATACACAGTAGTTTGGGCAGAAGGAGGTTGAATTGTACGTAAATGTTGTTAACATAATTTAATTAAAGTTGTTTATAAGTGTTTCAAATAAATGTGCACATAAATTAAAATTTCACAATTCATTTATAAAAATTTACAAAAACCATATGGATTATTAAAGTTGTTTATATCATATCTAGTTGATAACAAATACTTAAACTCATGTACACTTTATCACATGTACACTATACTTACTATCAATTCGACACAATTGTATCATTCATTAATAATTACTGAATTATAAAGTTAGAATGATAATTATAATAAAATTATAAATATGTATTTTACATGTTTGTTTTATTAAATATATTTGTATTAATAGCTTAGTTCGCACTAAAACAACTAAATTAAAACTAAAAGTAAGACTAAATTTATTACAATGTTTATTTTAAGATACAACACATGATAAAACAAAATTAATTTAATTCTGACTTAAATGTTTTGTAAACTTTATCAATCATTTTAATTGTGAAGTCCTTGTGCTGTGAGAGGGGCCGCACGCCGGCAGGCATTGGCATCAATGGGTCCGCACTATACCGACCGCCCAATTGTGTCGGTATATACTCGGGGTCTAAATATTGTGTTAGTTCATCACGTTTTATAAACTTCATAGTTCTACGAAGCTCGTCATTCATTAACATCATGATCAATTTGGCGGTCGCCTCCAACACCGTCGGCAAGTCTACGGCCACTAAATAGCGGGCGCCTCTCGGATAATAAGCCTGTAGCAGATCCAACATGAACATGATCAAATCCATCTCAACGTTGCCCAGTCCGGCGTGATTAGTGTCCGACACCGCGATCCAGCCCTCGGCGTGTCGGCCCGACTCGATCACCTCGTTGTCCACCGTTTCCATCATCCATACAAAGTGTTGCTTTTGCAATAACGACAACTCCGGACACTTGCGGTGCAATCGGTAACGCGTGTAGATCACAGGCCGGCCCTCCCGGTCGTCGCCGAACCGCACGTATTCGCCGATTCGGTAAATCTCTTCGGGAAACGATTGGGCGGTAAAGTTGTTGACACCGAAAGCCTTTCGCCATTTCATGGCTTTGACGAGCGCTTTGAGGGCCGAGTCCTCCGTTTTGTTGGTCAACACAAACCTCTCGACCCACCAGTCCTTCTGCGCCACGCGTTTCACGTCTCTCGGGTCGTATTTTCCCGGATTTTTGGCCACTTTTGCCGTAAATCTGAGCCTTATTTTGGCGATTGTCTGTTTATTGACTGACATTTTTTTATTATAAATATTAACAGGACTTGTGTTTCATTTAAAACAAATCACTCAAAATTTTAAGTTAATTGACATTTATTTATACCAATGATAATAAAACTATTGCTTTTATAACTTATCATTATTTGATGTATAGATTTTTAGTACTTGTATTAAAAGGTCTTTGAATTTGATATAACATAATCATTACTGTATTATCTAGTGTACATTGACAATATAACATTGCTTAATCTTAGATAATTACTATGGTAATAAATGTTTTGTTATACATTTATGATATTAAATTTTCTACTTACCACCAGCAAAAAAATAACAATGCAATTTATAAATAATCCACCTTCACACACACCCCTAATAATTTATATGAATTGATAGTTCACAATTATTACCACATGATTTATTAATTAAAACCTGTACTTACTTATTAAAAATTGCATGTAAATTACATGTAGATTAAAGCTGTAAAATGTAAAATAGCGCTAATTTTGTTTTTATTTTTATTTTATTGCATAAATATACTACAGAAATAACTTTAATTAATGGGATGGGTAAAGGTCAATAAACTTATATAATTATTAATTTGAAAATTAATTTTTAAAATATTATTAAAGTTAATTATAGTAAAACATATGCATATTAATTATGCAAAACATTACGTTTTTGGGTAGTTTATGAACTCACTGCATACAATTGCCAGATATATAAGATATTAATTGCATTACTGTTTAAGTAAAGTTTGATATTTTTGAATAATTAATTTGCAAATTATAACTAATTTATAAATGAAATATATATTTGAATTAATATCATGGTGTTTATTATGCGTTTTGTTTTGTCAATTTCTAGCAATTAATTGTCAGATCAAAAAAATTCCCGATATTTACCGAAATACTGTAATTATAATAATTGTTACAACTTATATAATGAGATTCATAATTAAAACATCTAATTATAGCCACAATTAATCAAAAGTCGAGGCTTTAAGTCAACGAACTATAGGGTAACCACCGATGATGGCTATAATTTGGGTATTTTCCGTATAGTTAACCCCTATTGGAGGGGCGAAACTATACCCATATTATTATGGCACGGGATAGGCATCTCTTCCGATTTTTGGCTGTTCTCCAGCGCCGGCTATTTGTCAACCAATGGTGTCTATAGCGAACAAAACCCCTGAAATCAATTGTTAACACCGTTATCAAACTGCAGATTATATCGCAAATGTAACAGAAGTACACCAATACTGCAGACCAATCCGTTATGAGCGCCGTTAGTTATAAGTTTATGAGTAGTTTTGACAAGTAAACATTTTAAAGTAATATTTCTATTTAATAATGATGCTTTTAATTTTCATAATAAGTTATTAAAAATTAATTGCATTTACATATTCATAATGAAAGCCTGGGATAACTACTGGAACTATACGCTCACCGAAACAGGTCTTTACGACGTGAAGAATACCATTGAATTCATATTGAATGTGACGGAAAAGCGTAAATAAAATTAAAAAATTTAATACAATATATTTATAATAAATACTGTAATCATTTGCACATCATTTAAGCGTCGGTCGCATATATCGGTCACTCAATGGGCACCACATCTATGTTTGTATTGCTATCTCTAATCCCGGACTTTGAGCAATACGTGCGACCGTTCATAGCGTTCGCACCGATCGCTTTCCTAAGCAATACACAATCCATATACAAATATTTAACACCATTAGTATATCCATTTCGGTAATTTATATTTATGATTGAGAGAGAGAGAGAGAGAGAGAGAGAGAGAGACCAGATGTTGGTTTTTAAACACTATTTTGGGACTTTAGTTAACAATTGTGGCAATAGTTTGACGTCTAATATAGCGTTTACATTGTCTTCATGTGGTTATGACGTCTGGTTAGGCAATACTCGCGGCAATCAATATTCAAATACTCATCAAAACTTAAGTAAACATTTTAAAGTAATATTTCTATTTAATCAGGATGCTTTTAATTTTCATAATTAGTTCAAAATTAATTGTATTTACATATTTATAATGAAAGCCTGGGATAACTACTGGAACTATACGCTCACCGAAACAGGTCTTTATGACGTGAAGAATACCATTGAATTCATATTGAATGTGACGGAAAAGCGTAAATAAAATTAAAAAAATTAAAACAATATACTCTATAATAAATACTGTAATTATTTGCACATCACTTAAGCGTCGGTCGCATATATCGGTCACTCAATGGGCACCACATCTATGTTTGTATTGCTATCTTTGGTCCCGGACTTTGAGCAATACGTGCGACCGTTCATAGCGTTCGCACCGATCGCTTTCCTAAGCCATACACAATCCATATACAAATATTTAACACCATTAGTATATCCATTTCGGTAATTTATATTTATGATTGAGAGAGAGAGAGAGAGAGAGAGAGAGAGAGACCAGATGTTGGTTTTTAAACACTATTTAAATGTTATTTAAATATGGCCACAAAATGTTATTTAAATAATATACATGCATAGCAATGTGGTCATACCGTTAGGTGTGCCGCAATTCATAATGCGTTTCATTGGCCAATACCTGTGCACAGCGCCTGTCATCGGACCAATTATTGCGGATTTTTTAGATGCGAGTAACGGTTACGACCCGTACACCGACGACCCGGTAATTATTACTATATGTTAAATCTGCACATATTGTATGTGTTAAAATATTTAAATACAAAATGTATATACTATATACCAATATAACGTTACAAGTCTTTTATATAATTTATGACAGGTAATTTATATAATATTACTTTTAATAATAAGTTGATTAACAAATAGTATGCTGTGCCACTATTGATGGCCAAAGGGATGCAATTTGTGTCCTCAAAAATATACCTACAATTTGGTCAATTCATATTAGACGCACGGTTTCATCAATTTGATTACGGGCTCAAAGGCAATGTAGCCCATTATGGGCAGTCACGGGCACCCGATTACCCGCTACAACAGATTCAGTCACAGAATATGGCCTTTTATAAGGGAAATAACGATCTATTAGGTGATGAAACAGATATCGCGATATTAGTCTCTAAATTACAAGGTAGAAATAATTTCTACAATTTCTTACAATTATTTTAATTTATAATTAATTGATATAATTAATTGCGTTACTATATTGTATATTTTAACACAACATTAATATCAGTGAATCTGTTGGCGGATCTGTTGGTTCCGTACACCGACTATAATCACGTGGACTTTGGAATACAAAAACATAATAACATTTATCTCAATGGCTATGCGTTTGATGTCTTGAATGCACTGAATATCACGTCTCAATAGATCTTTCCTGTAACCCAATTTGTGGTCAGAAATTATTATTTTAAATAAGTATTTGCTATTGTACTAAAAAATAACATTTTTTCATTTATATAAGCTATAACAATTTTTATTTTACAATTTAGTTTTAGTTTAGAGTAACTTTGAATTAAAAACATTTCTAATAAATAATAACACATGTATTTAAAATATATTAAAACATGTATTTTCACACTCACTGTAGAGTACACTATTGATATCGCAAACATGTATGTATTTTAATGATTTAATTAGTCACCACTTTAGCTGTATTTTATATTTTTAATTAAATATTTTTAATATTTGTTTCAATGAAATCATTATTTAAATTATTCAAAATATTTTCATTATATTTGTTGTGGATTTTGTTTTGTCATTTTGAGAGCACAGACGGGTTGGTAAAGATATTGCCTGACATTTACCGAAATACAGTAATTATATTTATTATCACAACAGTTATAATATAATAAAATATTTATATCATGTAATTATAGCCACAATCGATTAAAAGCCGAGGCTTTAAGTACCAGAAATATAAGGTAACCACCGATGATGGCTATAATTTGGGTATTTTTCGTATAGTTAACCCCTATTGGAGGGGCGAAACTAAACCACTACTACTATGGCATCAGTTGGCCTTTAGCTCCGATATATGGCTCTTCTCGAGCCCCGGATATTTGTCACCCAATGGCGTCTATAGTGAACAAAACGGGACTTTAGTTAACAATTGTGGCAATAGTTTGACGTCTAATATAGCGTTTACATTGTCTTCATGTGGTTATGACGTCTGGTTAGGCAATACTCGGGGCAATCGTTACTCTAATACACATCAAAATCCCAGTAAATATGCAAATACTTATCGTAATATTGTATAATCATATCATTAATATATTTTGTTTGCTATTATTTACATGTTTTGTTTGAAAGCCTGGGATAAGCTCTGGAACTATACGTTCACTGAAACGGGTATTTATGACGTGAAGAATACCATTGAATTCATACTAAAAATGACACAAAAATGTAAATGTTAATTATAACCATAATGCAATTTAATACACTAACATTAATTTCAAAACAACATATCATTTACACATTACTTAAGCGTCAATTGCATATATCGGTCACTCAATGGGCACCACATCTATGTTAACGTTACTATCGCTGATACCGGACTTTGAACGGCACATCCGGCCCATCATCTTATTGGCACCGATCGCACACCTAAGCAACACGGGGTCCATTGTGCGACTGTTCACACCATTGGTGAGCATACTGCAGTAAGTATCAGCATAACCATTAGCTTGTTAAGAGCACCAACTTCTACCGTACATAGTAATCATATTTTACCTGTATTTGAATAGCCGATTAGTTGCACCGTTAGGTCTGCCCCAAACACTTATGCGTTACATTGGCCAATACCTGTGCACACAGCCTGTAATTGGATCCGTTTGCGCCGCCATTGTCTACGAGTTTGTCGGCTACGACTCGTACGCCGACGATCCGGTCAGTATTACCACGTGCTTAAAAAGTGACAAAAACAATTGTACAGTATTAGACTAAATTAAATGCAATTAAAAACTATATGGTATTTATTGTAATTTGCACCAGGATCTAATGCCGACATTAGTGGCCAAAGCGCTGGACAACGTGTCCTCAAAAATATACTTACAATACGGTCAGTTCATTCTTGACGGACGTTTCCACGAGTTTGATTACGGCCCGGAAGATAATATCGGCCACTACGGGCAACCCATGGCACCCGATTACCCGGTGGACAAAATACGGTCCAAGAATATGGCCTTTTATGTGGGAAACGCTGACCTCTTGGGCGATATAACTGATGTCCAAAAATTGGTGTCCAGACTAAGAGGTATTGGCTGTCAAATTAGGCTCTAATTATGTTTATATACTGTTTGTCTCGTATATATCGCCAGTAAAACTCTTAGAGGACCTATTGGTTCCGTACGCCGACTGGAATCACATAGACTTCGCGGTCAACAAACACACCAACCGTTACCTCAACGGCCGTGTCGTCGGTGTCTTGGATTACGTGAACGCCATCGACAGCTATAGCACTGTTTTGGGCAATATTTTCAATACAATCAACGAAAATACAGACAACACTCGATATGGACTATAAATTGCAATAAAAAACAAAAATTAATTAATTAAACAAAAATAAATAAACATTTATTTAAACTAAAATTACAATAAATTACAACAAATCTATAGCTCAGGGCTACTACTGCTGGTGGTGTTGTGCCGGAGCTTAACGTGTTTGAATACATTGCCGCTATTGGCGCTGCGGTACTGACAGCCGGGCCAATGGCATGCGTGCGGCCGCACATTGTTGTGGACATTGCGGTGATCGTTGAGACACTTCTGGAGCCGAAACGCTTTGCCACAGTCGGGCCAATCGCAGGCGAACCTCTTGGCGCCGGTATGTATGGTCTTGTGGTGGGCCAACCGGTCGCCGGTGCCGGCAAAGTCACAACCGGGCCATTCGCACGCGTGAATCGGCCGGCGCTTACTCTTCGCGTAGACCGACAACCCCTGGTGGACGAGCGCCCGGTGTTTGAGCCGATAGTGTTCGGTGCGGAACAGCTCCGCGCAGCCGTCGTAACCGCACGCCAGTGTCGGCTCCGTATAGTGTGTGGCCGTGTGTAGTGTCAGCGCACGGGTGGCGCTGTACTTACGGCCGCAGCCGGGAAACAGACACCGGTAGGTCTGCGCGGTGTCGGCCGCGTGGACTCGATTTTGGTGATGCTTCAAACCAGTGGCGGTGACAAAAGTGGCCGTACAGTCCGGCTCCAAACACTCCATCCGTGGCCGGGCCGCCGAGTGTCGGGCCGTATGTATGTTCAGGTGATTCTTGGTGTACGACCGGTGGCCGCAGCCCTCGTACTGGCACAGGTACGGCTTCTGGCCCTCGTGCGCGGCCAACCGGTGCACCCGCAGCGAGCGGACACACTTGTAGCTCTTCGTACAGTCGGGCCAATCGCACGGCACGCGTCGGCTGGTGTGCACTGTCCGCATGTGCTCTAACAGGCCGTGACGGGCGGCGAACGCCCGGTGACCGCACTCGCTATGGGAACAGATGAACGACTCGGTGCGGGTGTCGTAGTGTAGGGTCTTCAGCGCCAGACGTTTCACGTGTTTGTCTCTCATAGCGCTGTTTGTGTGCAGTTTCTTGTGATACCGGAGCCGCGCTTTCGTGGCGAACGTCCGCCCGAAGCACTCGTCCCGATCGCACCGCCACTCACTGACAACCACAACAGCTGATCCGTCTTCGGCGGCAGCGGTGGTGGTCTGTGGCGAGCGTTTCAATGACAGTGTCTTATTAGTGGCGCTCTTCTGTTGGCAACTGTCTGTCCCTTTCGGAGACGTCTTGTTGTGGTTATTGTTGTCATAACTCTTCACCACTTCGTCGCCACCGCTTTGTGTCTGTCTTTGGATCAGCTGTTCGTGGGATGCGTTGCGGCGATCGCTGATATCGTTGAGCGCATCACCGATAGATCGGCTGACGGGCGAGTGATGTCCTCCGCGGTCGCCGACGGCCGTCACCTGTCGCTGGAGCTCATCCAAGGCGGCCATGTCTTCGGCGGGGATCAGATGAGACAATGTGTGGCAGATATGGGTCTGCCGTGCGTTCAATGCCTGCAAAACAGTGCAGTAATTGTTGGCAAACAATAACTCATTGAATAGACGATTGTTTTCGTCCATTAAATCACTCAAAATGTCATTTATTTTGATTACAGTTAACATTATTTTGCGGTTAAATCGCGACTAAAACTACAGTAAAACCCGTTTTAACGTTACGTTCACTCAAAACAATAACAATAACAGACTGTTTAAGTGATCGTTCATTAATTACGTGTACATTAATAATGTTATGATTTTTTTTGTTGTAATTTATTTTTGTTAATTAAAACTTTATTTACTCTGAAATTAATTAATTGTTTTTATAATTATTTTTATAAAAGTATTTTCTATAAATCATACATAAAATCAGATTTATTGTAATAACTGTTTATTAAATTTATCAAAAGTTTTATTACAATTACAATTAAAATAAGTATTTTTTAATGATAATTAAGATAAACATTAAAGTATTTAAATGAACACATCATGTGATTAATGAAAATTATATAAATTATAGATATAATTAAAGCACAAAACCCAAAGTTTTAAACACTTAAAACAATTAAATGTATAATTAATTTTTGATAAAGTATTTATGAATAAAAAATTATATTTAATTTGAACAAAATCAAAAATTATTAACTGAATAAATTATAACAATAATACCTATAATTTAATTCAATTAATTAATTAATTAATTAATAATAATTAAAGATTATATTAAATACCAAACAATGCTATGTTTGAAGCCATTGGACCAAAAAAATAATTAATTAAATAAAAAGTATTAGAAATCAAAAACCTATTACAATTGAGTGGCAACGGGTGGGCACGGGTCAGTGGCCTCAGCGCGGGTGGTGTCCACCCTATGTGGGCACACGTGAAGGTCGTGAATGTGTGTCTTAAGCGCCGACAGGCTATACGACCAGTAAGAGAAGCAGTCGTTGTGAATGCAGTAGCAAAACGTGCGGCCAGTGTTGGGCTCCGAGAATGTGCGCATATATTGGCCGATACTCTGGTCACCGCAAGGGTCTGTCCGGTGCCACTCCGCCGCCGCCCTCACGCCATAACCGCACGGATAGCTAATTGGTTCGCCGGACTCGTTGTTTCATATTAGACGCACGGTTTCATCAATTTGATTACGGGCTCAAAGGCAATGTAGCCCATTATGGGCAGTCACGGGCACCCGATTACCCGCTACAACAGATTCAGTCACAGAATATGGCCTTTTATAAAGGAAATAACGATCTATTAGGTGATGAAACAGATATCGCGATATTAGTCTCTAAATTACAAGGTAGTAATTGTAATTTATAATTAATTGATATAATTAATTGTGTTAATATATTGTATATATGGACAAAACATTAATATCAGTGAATCTGTTGGCGGATCTGTTGGTTCCGTACACCGACTATAATCACGTGGACTTTGGGATACAAAAACATAATAACCTTTATCTCAATTCCTATGCGTTTGATGTTTTGAATGCACTGAATATCACGTCTCAATAGGTCTTTCCTGTAACCCAATATGTGGTCAGAAATTATTATTTTGAATAAGTATTTGCTATTGTACTAAAAAATAACATTTTTTCATTTCTATAAGCTATAACAATTTTTATTTTACAATTTAGTTTTAGTTTAGAGTAACTTTGAATTAAAAACATTTCTAATAATTAATAACACATGTATTTAAAATATATTAAAACATGTATTTTCACACTCATTGTAGAGTACATTATTGATATCGCATACATGTATGTATTTTAATAATTTAATTAGTCACCACTTTGCTGTATTTTATATTTTTAATTAAATATTTTTATTTTTAATAAATTTTTTCAATGAAATCATTATTTAAATTATTTGAAATATTTTCATTATATTTGTTGTGGATTTTGTTTTGTCATTTTGAGAGCACTGACGGGTTGGTAAAGATATTGCCTGACATTTACCGAGATACAGTAATTATATTTATTATCATAAAAGTTATAATATAATAAAACATTTACAGTATATCATGTAATTATAGCCACAATTGATTAAAAGCCGAGGCTTTAAGTACCAGAAATATAAGGTAACCACCGATGATGGCTATAATTTGGGTATTTTTCGTATAGTAAACCCCTATTGGAGGGGCAAAACTAAACCACTACTACTATGGCATCAGTTGGCCTTTAGCTCCGATATATGGCTCTTCTCGAGCCCCGGATATTTGTCGCCAAATGGTGTCTATAGTGAACAAAACGGGACATTAGTTAACAATTGTGGCAATAGTTTGACGTCTAATATAGCGTTTACATTGTCTTCATGTGGTTATGACGTCTGGTTAGGCAATACTCGCGGCAATCGTTACTCTAATACACATCAAAATCCTAGTAATTATGCAAACATTTATCATAATATAATAATTTTATTAATATATTTTGTTTGCTATTATTTACATTGTTTTGTTTGAAAGCCTGGGATAAGCTCTGGAACTATACGTTCACTGAAACGGGTGTTTATGACGTGAAAAATACCATTGAATTCATTATAAAAATGACACAAAAATGTAAATTTGATGAAATTTAATTATAACCATAATGCAATTTAATACTAACATTCATATGAAAACCACATATCATTTGCACATCACTTAAGCGTCGATCGCATATATCGGTCACTCAATGGGCACCACATCTATGTTAACGTTACTATCGCTGATACCGGACTTTGAACGGCACATCCGGCCCATCATCCTATTGGCGCCGATCGCATACCTAAGCAATACGGGATCCATTGTCCGATTGTTGACACCATTGATCACCATATTAGCGTAAGAATCAGCATAACCATTCGCCTGTCAAGCGCACCAACGCATACATAGTAATAATAGTTTACCTGTATTTGAATAGCCGATTAGTTGCACCGTTAGGTCTGCCCGAAACACTTATGCGCTACATTGGCCAATACCTTTGCACACAGCCTGTAATTGGATCCGTTTGCGCCGCCATTGTCTACGAGTTTGTCGGCTACGACTCGTACGCCGACGATCCGGTAAGTATTACCACGTGCTTAAAAAGTGAATAAACATTGTACACAATTATTACATTGCAATCAACTACATGGTACATTATAAAACATTACAATTTGACCAGGATCTGATGCCAACATTAGTGGGCAAAGCGCTGGACAACGTGTCCACAAAGATATACTTACAATACGGTCAGTTCATAGTTGACGGACGTTTCCACGAGTTTGATTACGGCCCGGAAGATAATATCGGCCATTACGGGCAACCCATGGCACCCGATTACCCGGTGGACAAAATACGGTCCAAGAATATGGCCTTTTATGTGGGAAACGCTGACCTCTTGGGCGATAAAACTGATGTCCAAAAATTGGTGTCCAGACTAAGAGGTATTGGCTGTCAAATTAGGCTCTAATTATGTTTATATACTGTTTGTCTCGTATATATCGTCAGTGAAACTCTTGGAGGACCTATTGGTTCCGTACGCCGACTGGAATCACATAGACTTCGCGGTCAACAAACACACCAACCGTTACCTCAACGGCCGTGTCGTCGGTGTCTTGGATTACGTGAACGCCATCGACAGCTATA